CAGCCCGGAGGTTTCCAATCGCGGGAGGGGCGCCGGGGAGGGGGCTGTTTGTGGAAGGGGGGGGCCGCTGGGCTCTCCCACCACCACCACCCCATTTTCTGCGGTGCTCCCCTCTTTTCCCCCCCTCCCTCCCTTCCTTCTTGGCCAAGTCCTTGAAGGGACCCGAAGACGGCAGCCTGGCTGAAAGTACCGGCGGGTTGAAACTGACTAGACCCCCGCCGCTGAGCGCCAAGCAAGCCGGGCTGAAATTCAGCGGGCCGCCGCCGCCGCCTCCGCCGCCGGCTTCGTCCTCTTTCCCCCCTCTGGCCATTTCGGCCTGGGGGGCCTCGCTCTTCCCTCCTGGCTTTGTGGATGTCCCGATGAGAGATCCAGCGTTCCCGGGGGCTGCGATGGCTTACCACCCCTTCCACGCGCCCAGGCCAGCCGACTTCCCCATGTCCGCCTTCTTAGCGGCCGCTCAGCCTTCGTTCTTCCCGGCTCTGGCTCTGCCTCCCGCCGCCCTCGCCAAACCTTTGACGGATCCCAGCTTGGCTGGAGCCGCCGCCGAGGCCGGCTTGCACGTCTCGGCTCTCGGACATCATCACCAGGCTGCCCATCTGCGGTCCCTGAAAAGCTTGGAGCCGGAAGAAGAGGTGGAAGACGACCCCAAAGTCACGCTGGAAGCTAAAGACCTTTGGGACGAATTCCACAAACTAGGCACCGAGATGGTGATCACGAAATCGGGAAGGTAAGGAAGACATTTCCCCCCCCCTCACTCCCCTTCACATCGCGACCCGCTAATAATAAGAACAATAAGCAAGTTTTACTGGGAAGGAAAGGAAAAACAAAGTAGTCATCAATAACCACCATTATAACCACAATCACAACAATATAGTCGTTATCCCTGTACAGGTACAAGCTAAGTTGCACAGAAAAAAAAAAGAATTAGGAATAAATAGAAATAATAATGCATTATGCGGGATGATGGTTGGTGTTTATGGACTGCAGGGCTGGGTGGAAAAACCCAGCCCTTGTGTTATCATCATAAAATAAGAATATATGACGCTATTCCCTTTTGGAGTTATGTAGTGCATTGAAAAGTACCCAGAGTACTTTCTGCCTGGGTAGAGATGACATTTTTGAGGTTCCCGAGCTAACAAGGCCAACAATAATAACTTAGCCAGAATGATTTTAGTATTTACTGTGGAGGGAGAAAATCCAGTCTTTGTCCAATAATAGTGATAATGCAGTAGCAATAATTCTACAGATGCAAAAGGGTTTTTTTGCTAATTATTATGAAAAGAGGGAGAATTCAGTCCCTATCCAATAATAATAATAGTAATAATAGTAATAATAATAGTAATAATAATAATATAGCAATCATTTAAATATATGCAGAAGGATTTTTATTCTCTGTTGTGGAAAGGAGAATTCAGTCCTTGTCCAATAATAATAAAATAGCAACAAGAATGATTTGCAGCATGCAGAATGATCTCTTATTACTTATTGTGAAGAGAGGCAAGAATTCAGTCCTTGGCTAACAATAATAAAATAGCACAATCTATATGAAGAAGGATTGATCGTATTTATTGTGGAGAGAAGGTGAATTCAGGCCTTGTTCAATAATAATGATAACAGAATAGCAATCTTAATCTATATGTAGGAGGATTTTTGGTATATAGTGCGGAGAGAGGAAAGAATTCAGCCCTTGTCCAATAACACTAAAACAGCAATAATAATAATTTATAATACACATATATATATATGCAGAGGGATTTTGAGTATGTATTATGGAGAACTCAGTCTGTGTCCAATTAACAATAAAATAATCCCATCACTGTGCCCTTTTGAAGTAAGTGCAGAAAAAGAGTAAGAAGTAAAAGAACAATCATATAATTTCCAGAACCACTGTTGGTGTTTTCCGTGAGGAAGGGAAGAAACTAATTCCATTCTTTCCAAGAGACGAGGCTTCGCCACCTTGCTAATAATAATCCTTGCAATTTCTCACTTCGGGCATTGCTTTTTCCCCCCATCTGACCCGAGTTCTCGCCTTCCTTTGCATCCCAAATATTTAAGCTGATAGCTGAGGGGAAAGCACGTTTACCTGGAGGTGGGCTTCCATTTTGGAGCTACCTAAAAATCCGGATACAAGGGCAGAGGGTTGGTTTCAGACATGGGGGCTTGGAGGGTGGAGGGCTTGACCAGGGGCCTGGAAGCAGCATTCCCTGGAAGGATCCCCTTAGAATTCTGATTCTTATTCCTTAAACACTATTCAGGAATTCAGGCTATATATTCAAGTGCAATTTATTTCTATTTTAAAATTTTCTTTCTCTTTCTCTTTCTCTCTCTCTCTCTCTCTCTCACTTTCCTTCCCTCCTTCCTTCCTTCCTTCTTTTTTCCTTTCCTTTCCTTTCCTTTCCTTTCTTTTCCTTTCTTTTCCTTTCCTTTCCTTTCCTTTCCTTTCCTTTCTTTTCCTTTCCTTTCCTTTTTAAAATATTTCTTGCCGGTCTCTTTGCTGTATCTCTCATCAATGAGCAAAATCAGAAGGATTAAAAAAAAAAAAACACCACCTTCTGTTTTTATGTTCAAACATCTGGAAAGCCACACCTGGAAATAGTTGGTGATCTGGGGAGGGGGCAGCTGGCAGGAAAACCCCTTAGGATCCCCTTAGGATAGGTGTAACAAAAAGTCTGGGAAGCCTGCAAGGTGGCCTAGCGGTCAAAGGATCCGGTCCCCGAAGTAGAGAGAACTCGCGCGGTCTCCTCACGAGTAAATTCAAGCGAAAGAAAGAGAAAAGCGAAGACGAATCGGGTTTTTATTTCTTCTCTTCCCACACACACACACACCGCTTTTCTGCGTTGGGAAATAGAGGCCGTACACAGCGTTGAGGCCGGTTAAATTGATTTGAATCTGGATGGGAGGGGGGGTGTCATTGGTACCCCTGCTTTGCCCCCCCACATCCTCCTAAGCCCTCCCGAACCCTTTTTAATTTCGCAGACATTCAAAGGGGTTGTTGGTTTTAACAGAGAGCGTTTTTTCCCTATGCCTTTTTTTTCTCTCTCTCCTTTCCCTCAGTTTGTCTCTCTTTCCAGTGGCCTATTGTTCGAGTTTTTTTAAAAATAATCACTTTTTCCTTCTATTAATAAAGGGGTCCTCTATTTCCCCCCCCCCTCTTTTAAGTCTTCTTCAGCCCTCAGTGCGATCTAGCCAACCTCCAACACGATTTATAAGTCAAACCCCAAACAAGTTTCTATTTTTTCTCCCAGACAAGAAAGGCGTTGAATCCAGATTTCTGGGTTGTTGTTTTTTTTTCCTTTTTATTTTTAAATCGAGACAAAGGGGCCATCTGTAATAATCGCCCTCCTCCTCCTCCTCCTCCTCGTAATATCAGCATTTTCGGCACAGATCCTAACTCGGGTTATTTCCGTGTACAAGGCGCTCAATAGAATAGAGAGTACCTGTCTTGAAAATGGCCAGAATGAACCCGCAGGTGGTATAGAAAGAGTTGGGTTTAAAAAAAGAAAGAAAGAAAGAAAACAACTTGCAATGGTAAACTGGCTTATTGTTTTAAGCCTTCTTCAAGGTTTTTAAAGCAAAATTCATTCACTGTGTTTAGGAAACACGGTGTAATTCTCTCGGATTCAATATATATCTTGCAATATAAAGCAAAATTCCTTTCGAGGTTTGGACTGATCACAAAAATTTAGAAGCCCTCAAAGGAGATAGATAGATAGATAGATAGATAGATAGATAGATAGATAGATAGATAGATAGATAGATAGATAGATAGATAGATATGGATG